TTTATTCCTTCAGAAAATAACGTATTTGTTGAATGACACCACCTACTTAGTGATTTACCAGATAACCAGTGTGGTTGTATCTTACATGCTCTTTTTTTAGTTCACTCTTATTCTCTTGACTCTTTTCCCCCTTCTTTCATGCCCCTTCTCCCCCTAACTCATGCTCATGGGGTCACGTACAGACATGTACAGGCTGTTTTGGTCTTAGTTCAGTTCTGTGAATGAAGGATATGTATGACTTAATTACTAGTGCACAGAGAAATGCATACAGGGATGTTCACTGCAGCATTGTTTGAAATAGCACAAATTTGGAAGGAGTTTAAATTGGATTTGGTAGTTGAATAAATTATGGTTCATCAAAAAAAGTGATGAGCTATATGTATTGATAATGGAAATACTAAGATATATAAAGTGAAAAACTGCAGAACAATCCATATAGTATAATACTACTTATTAAAAAAAAAGCTTTGTGCACTTGACTTGTGCTGATACGTGCTTATGCTTAAGAACTTTCTAGAAGCATAAATAAGAAACGTTTATCTCTGGGGAGTGGGACTGTTGGAAGAACAGGGGCAGAGTGTTCCTCTTCCTTACTCCTTTTCAGTGTGTTTTATCAGTCACAAAAACTGTCTAGTAAACATTATTTCATGATAGTCATTAAAATGGGGGGCATTAGCAAAAGAATGCAGCAAACATTTGGAAAACATACATCTTAAGTAATAAAAATAAATGCTAATTAAAATTATTTGCGTCTTAAATTAGCAAATTTAAAATATTTAATCCTATTTATAGTAATACGTCCGACGTTGTGAAGTGGTACAACCCTTTGGAAACAATTAAGCAAATATACCAAGAACTATAAAGTTGGTCATACTTTTGATTGAGTAATTTGACTCCTAGGAAAATCCAATTTACGAAAGTAATTAAACGCACAAAGATGCTAGTTGCAACATTCAGCTAAAGAATCAAAGTAATGTGTGTGTGGTCAAAAACACAAGATAAGTAAAGTCCGAGCTCCCTCTGTGACCCTGTCACTTGCTCCAAAGAGGGACTGCCTGGGGCACATGGTTGGCGTTAGTTCTCACGAGAAGTAAGCAGGCATTCTGGTTTATTAGTCAGCCCCTTGCAAACTTGGTTAACAGGAGTCATTCCACTAGCATTTGATGAAGAATTGAGAAACCTGAATTCTTGAAGCTACAGATGCAAAGACCAGATGCCAGACTTCTGGTTGGAGATCTTCCTTGAGGCTGGACAGCGACCTGCTAGTCTCCCCACCTGCCCTTGCCGCAAGTCAGGACCATTGTGTCTCAGTGTCTGGGCAGTGTATTTCCATTAATGCAGACAATATGATATTGTTGTTTGTTTTTACTTTGGGCTGGCTGTACCTCAAACCTCCACATAGATGGGCATATTACTGTATTTAATTTTTTAAGTGGAGAAAAATATTACTTAGATCTGATAAGCAAAAATTCTTAAAAAATGAGGTTCTATGGGAGTGTAGGTAGGAGGATGGAAGATAATAAAAGGGGAACTATTTGAAATTTCATTTTCTGAGGGGTTGGTCATTGGGTCTATTTATTATTAGTTTTAATTTTAATTTTTGATGGAGGTACTGGGGATTGCACTCAGGACCTCCTTCATGCTAAGCATCTGCTCTACCACTTGAGCTATACCCTCCCCCACCCGAACTATTTTTTGAGGAGCGTTCGTTTATTTATTGAATACTGACTTTGTACTGAGCAGTATGAAACAGATACACTTCCAAATCCTTCCTTAGCTTACTGTCTGGGATGATGGGAGATAGAAACATGTAAACAGGCAACAACAGTGTAGTGTGATAAGTGCTGTGATGGGGGCAAAGTACATGATCCTGTAGATCTTGTTTCATTTTCACAAAAGCCATATGAGCTAAACGGTTCTTTTACAACTGAGGCCAAGGGTTTGATTCATAGAAGTCTAGGTGAGAAGTGATGGTGCTTTAGATTAGGGTGGTGGTAGTGAAGCTGGAGAGATTTGGATGAATATAGGATATATTATAGTTCCATCCAAAGACTTCCCCCCACATTTTAACATTTCTGAGATTGGGCTGCATCATATGGAGGAGAGCATATAATCATTTGGTAGTGTTTTTCCCTTTCTTAGAGGTACATATGATAATATCTCAGATTGTATGAAATATACCTTAGAAGTAGGGCCCACAGGTCTTGCTGAGGGATTGGATGTGAGATGTGAGAGAAAGAGCAAAAGCAAGAATGACTCCTAAATTTTTGGTTTGTGTTACTGGTTGGATATTGGTGCCATGGACTGAGATGGGTAAGACTAGAGAAACAGGATGGAGGGAGGAAATAAACCTGTGTTAAATTTTTTATTGAAGTGTAGTTGATTTACAATATTAGTTTCAGGTGTACAGCAAAGTGATTCAGTTATACATATATATATATTTTTTCTTTTCAGATTCTTTCCCATTATATGTTATTACAAGAAATTGAATATAGTTCTCTGTGTTATACAGTAGGTCTGGCCGTGTTATGTCTTAAATACTGCGTGTCCAAGATGTCATGTAGATAGTTGGCGTTTGGTGGAGAGTTCGAGACTAGAAATATAAAACTGGGGAATGTGGGGAGTCGGGATAGTAGAATGAATGATCCAGGAGAGGACAGTAATGCAGCACAGTATGGAAAATGGCAGGAATAAGATCCAGGAGAAGGGGGATGAGATCCAAAGTCTAAGGGAAGGCGTGGCCTTAGATAGAGGTAAGGATGCCACATTCCCTGTTAATGATAAAAATCATTAGTGTAGTTAGAGATAGGTCTATAGATTTGTTGGTGGGAGGAAGAGGGAGTTCCTGTCTGATTGCCTCTGTTTTCCCAGTGACTTATGAGACAAGGACATTAACCGGGTGAAGGAAGTTTTGGCAGTTTGCAGCAGAAATGCTGCTGAGAGACATAATGCAAGGGCTGGGGGACTGATTTTCATTGAGTGATCAAAGCCTAATTAGTCCCCTCTGATGCCCACTGACTAGTCTTTTTTTAGCAAGATTTATTAAGTTTCAAAAATTACCAGGAGAACACAGGCCCATGGTAAAAATAAACAATACGGGGAAGGGGGGAGGCATAGTTTAAGTGGTAGAGCTGTATGCTTAGCATGCAGGGGGTCCTGGGTTCAATTCCTAGCACCTCCCCTGAAAATAAACAAACCTAATTACCTCCCTCTGCCAAAATAAAATTATTAAATAATACAATAATAAAGTATTTTTTAAAATATAGAAACATCTAAAGTAAAAAGTGAAAGTCCGCCCTCACAGGTACACACCCATTCTTTTTAGGTAATAATTATTAATAATTTGGTACTGGTTCTTTTATATCTTTTCTTATGGTCATATAAAAGCATACACAATCTCTATGGTTTATGGCTTCAGTTTTAAAGGGGGCTCTTTGGGTTCTTTAAAGTTTTTGGGGGTTTTTCTTTGTATCTTCAAAGCCTTCTAATATGATTTCTTATAGTCTTTTCATAAGTTCTAGGTAAGCCAAATGGCTCTTCCTAGGTGCATATATTTTCTCTTTAGGGATTAGAGTACAACTCTGTTGTGTCACTGTTTGTGTCATGTTTCCGATCCCTAATTCCTTTTGCCTGACCTCTAAAAATCAGTGTGTATCTAAAAAGGTAGATGAAGATTGGATCACGTTTTAGTTTCTGTATAGTGCTATGTATTGATAATAGGTTTCAAGATAACCAAGGTCACATTTTGACCCATACCTGAGAAACCTTACACCCAGCAAGAATTTTTTCTTGATGAAAAAAAAAACCAACTTGAAGCCTAGTAGTGAATAAGTCCAATATGTCCAATGATCAATCAATAAATAGGAAATTTAATCAAGAGGATGAGCCAGCATGTGTCTTGAAAGATTGTATATAGAAGGTATATGATCAGTCCAGTAATCAACCTCAAGGCTAAAATTAAAAAGTCCACAAGATGTGGTTAAGGCTAACTTTTTATATGTAAAACCTTATAAAAATACATAAAACTTATAAATATGTAAAACTATGTAAATATATGCAAAACCTTATGGCTATTATGCCCATTTTCTTTAGCACTTTGGTTTCCTCTGTTAGCTCTGTGTCACAATAATTCATGATAAGATTGCCTATGAGAGGGTGGGTATAGCTCAGTGGTAGAGCATGTGCCTAGCGCACATGAGGTCCTGGGTTCGATCCCCAGTACCTCCAAAAAAACCAAAAAATTAAACCTAATCATCCCCCTTCAAAAAAAAGAAAAGATTACCTATAGGTAGGTTCTAGAATAGAGCCAGGCTCCAGCACAGAAGTGATGCTTATTGCAGCGTGACTCCTCTAAGTTGGATTTTGGATCTCTTCAAATCATCATGAATGGCTGATGATGGGATGTCCGCTGCTCTCTGGTGAGCTGAAGGATCCCTAGCTGGAATGTGCTTTGGTGTCACCTCAGTACAGTTGTCCCTCAGTCCCCAATATCTGTAGTATATTGGCTCCAGGATCCCTCTTAGACACCAAAATCCTTGGATGCTCAAGTCTCATATATTAAGTGTAGTATTTGCATATAACCCATACACATCCTCCCATATTTTCTTTTTTGGTCCTTATTTTTTAAAATTTTTATTTTTTATTGGTTTGCAATATTGTGTTAATTTCTGATGTACAGCATAGTGATTCAGTTTTACATATATATTCTTTTTGAATTCTTTTTCATTATAGGCCACATTACAAGGTATTGAATATAGTTCTCTGTGCTATACAGTAGGTCCTTGTCTCCCGTATACTTTAAATCACCTCTAGATGACTTATAACACCCAACACAATGTAAATGCTATGCAAATAATTGTCATCAAGCAGCAAATTCAAGTTTTGCTTTTTGGAACTTTCTGGCATTTTTTACCTGAATATTTTCCGTCTGAGGTTGATTGAATCTGCAGACGTGGAACCCTCGCATCCAGAGGGCTGTCTGTACTGCAAGGCTGTAACAACAGGCCAGGCGGCCTGCCGCCAGGGCAGGGAAGAATGAGTGCTGGGGCCTCTGGCACATTGTGAGGCGGAGAAGCAAGGGGCCCAACACCATGTTCACTGCAGGGAGCAGTTGCAGCTTTGAAGTTAGGTTTTGTTTGCTCCCGCAAGAAATGGACTTCAGCATTTGCTGAAGCGTTTACCGATAGCAGTCCTGATAGGTAGACCCTCTTCAAGCAGTGAAGCCCCAAAAGGTGTCCCCCTTGCTCTTTTGCCCTTTTGATTTTTTTTTAGGTTTTTTTTGTTTGTTTTGTTTTAATGGAGGCACTAGGGATTGAACGCAGGACCTCCTGCATGCTAGGCACACACTCTACCGCTGAGCTATATACCCTTTCCCAACCCTTTTGATTTTTAACTGTAATGTCCACATCCTCAAGTACTTTCCCCTGTTGTGTCTTTCTCAGAATTCACCTTCATATCTTTAACTAGAAATAGATCACTTGGCAGAAAACAGGCTTCTCACTGATAGCTAAAGATATTCCTTCTGCTATCTTGGATCGTGCAGTAGTGACTTAAGCAGCTTACTGCTTTTAATTTGCCTTTACCTCCCCTATTGTGCTCTTCATTTCATTAGCCTTTGAAACCATTTTGCATTTCGGAAACTCTTGTGGTTCTCTTCGCTTGAGATTTTTTGACTTTGTTTGCTTCTGGTGTTATAGTAGCTTTCCTTTAAAACAGTGTGTTTTATTTTGCAGTTATATTATTACTGTGGATTCAAGCAGTGATGAAGAACCTGATACCAGTAAGTAGAGTCCACTCAAAGCAGCAATTTACAGTTTAAAGTGGAATTTAACCACATCTTTGTAGAGATGACTAAAATGTGATTTGGGACATTCGGTGTAAGCTGTCGTAGGTTTGTCTTCTCTAGGGCTCTCTAGATTGGTGAAATGAAGTTTATTTCCCTACTGTTAGGAGCAGAGGAAGTTCTCTGGGCTTCTTTTCAAGTTTGCTTCCTTTACTTTTTTCATTCTCACTCTCCTTACTTTTATTTCCTCTCTGTTTCTCATGGGAGATGTAAGAATCCACCGTAAAATTTTAACTAGCTCTAAGTTAGGGATTTGGATTTGAGAGAATTAAAGACATGGGTAACCAGATTTTATTGTGCTTCAAATGCTTTATGATGCCCTCTTTCTTCCTCTGATTTAGTTGCGATTGGAATGAATGTGCAGAAAGGGGACGTCAGGTGAGTAGGAGAATTAGTGAAATTTGACTTTTTTTAAAGAAATGATGTTCTGGGTAAGAAGATTTAAGAATAAACCTCACAGGGAAGTGTATAGCTCAGTGGTAGAGCGCATGCTTAGCATGGTTGAGGTCCTGGGTTCAATTCCCAGTACCTCCATTAAAAGTAAATAAATAGATAAACCTAATTACTCCCCCTGTACCAAAAAAAAAGCAATCATAAATATCACATTTCCTTTGAATATCATGGTCAGGGTCATAATGGGTGTGTGATCTCACAACCAGTTTCAAAATATTAGATCCCTTATCCCTGGCCCATTAACTAACTTGTCAGTTTCTCCTTCAAAATGTCTCTCAGAACCGTCCCTTAACTTCCGGTCTCCCCTACTAAGGCCCTTATCAGTTTTTACTCTTGTATTTGTATAAGAGCTTTTTAAGTGGGCTCCTCACTCTGACTTCTTCCTCCTCTGATCCAGTCTATACCCTACTTCCAGATTAGTCTCCTGAGACACTGCTTTGATCAAATCAATTCTCTACTCAAATCACTTGTCATAGGAAAATCCAACTGTTAAGCCCAGTAGTTAAAATCCTCTGTGGGACCTATCTGTCAGCATGATTTACTACTTTTCCTATTTAGGAGCTGTCTCCTCTTGCCAGAGCTAGTTGAACAGGTGTTACCCAGGTACCAACTACAGAAGGTGCTAAAAAATTACTGGAATAAATCCAAAATAACTGTGGTTTCCACACTGCTTGAATTACTGTAGAAATTTTAATTGGTCATTCCTACTCCCTCCGGAAGGCAAAATAGTGCTGTCCAGTGGGAAAATGTTTTTTTAGATAGCTGATTTATCTCTGTGGATTACTTTTGCAACATGTAAGCCACCAAGCCTTACACCAATGTGTGAATGAAAGTCAGCAGTTGTAGTCAGCTGAAATTCTAGAACCAAATAATGCATTGTATAAAGCTGTTTGTTGGAAATGATCAATTTTGTTATTTATACTTTTGAAGTTAGGTTTATTGAGATGTGATTTACATACAGAAAAATTCGCCCTTTTTAGGTATACAGTTTGATGAATTTTGACAAATGTATAAATGGTAGTGTAACCATCACCACAGTCAAAGATGCAGAATATTTCCATGATTGTCATTTACATTTAAATGGCATGTCATGGATCCTTAGAAATATTCTGGTTTACAATATTACATATTATAAAGTCCTTGTTTGATAATAAATTTAGAAGTATCCAATTATATTTTAACTGGGGGGAGGTAATTAGGTTTATTTATTTATTTAATGGAGGTACTGGGGATTGAACCCAGGACCTTGTGCATGCTAGGCATGCTCTCTACCACTGAGCTATACCCTTGCCCCTAAAAGTATCCACTTTTTAAATAGATTGGGGTGGGTGGGTATAGCTCAGTGGTAGAGCACATGCTTAGTATGCACAAGGTCCTGGTTCAATCTCCAGTACCTCCATTAAAAAAATAAATAGAAAGATTGGTTTCTTCCTGCCTCCACTAGATAAGATGTTGAACACATATGTAAAGAAAATCCATTTCAAGGGGTCTGCCAGGAGTGCCCACAGATATTGGTCCAGTCCCAGTGACTTCTATATATATGGGATGTTGTAGGAAGGGTGGATTTGGGGAGGAAGGTGATGAGCTCCATTTTGGACGTGCTGAAACTGAGGGACCTATAGGCAAGGGCTGGCATTCAAAACATTTAACAACCAGTAGATACAGACAGGGATCAGTCGGGATGGCTGTCTCACTGGTTGGAACAGACACAATCAATAAACAGTTGGTGAGGCTACACCTGTGAGGGCTGACTGAAAATCAGCCCTACCCACAGGATATCTAGGTAAGGAGGCTGGCACTGTGGAGCTAGAAGTCAGAAGTGAAGTTGGGCTGGCGGATGGATAATGTTTACCCAGTCCTTAGGAACTAATTGGATTGGTGTGAACTCTGGCATAAATCCTGGGAATGACTTGAGAAAGAGAAGTGTGTGAGAAGAAGTGAATATAAAGATGAGAGAGAAAAACAGTATCCTAGAAATCAAGAAAACAGAATTTTAAGAATGGAATGAATGCTCAACAGGATAGCAAAGGCCTGTCAACGTGGCAGCTTAAAAGCAGTAAATATGGTGGAAAGAGATGAATGGATTTGTTTTTGGAACAGGTGCAGAGAAGTCCTTCAGCGGGTTTTTTTTTAAAGTTAAAAGAAAAACACATACGATTATTTTTATCTTTTTCTTCCTCCCTTAATGGATGCACTGGGGATTAAGCACAGGACCAGCATGCGCTCTACCACTAAGCTATACCCCCACCCCTCTCCAGCAGTGTTTTAAGGAGTTTTCTCTTTCATCGTAAAGGTATATTACTCTTATCATACACTGTTTGGAAAATACAGAAAGGTGGTAAATTTCAACTTTCTGGAACCTCTGACCCATATACCTGGGCCAGTTAATAACAAGGATCCCCAAGGGGTGCTCACCTCCAGCATCCTGGGTGGCACAGGGGTGCTGCTGATTTGGGCTCCCTCCAGAGGAGTCCATCAACTAGAGAGGGTGATGCTGGCTTCGGGCTGCAAAGAGTGATACCCAGGAGGAACCTCCTGCCGAGGCTGCCTCTCTGCATCTGTGGCCCTCTCCCCTTCTCAGGCAGCGAGATCTCAATGTGGATAAAGAGAAACAGCAGTTAACTAAGCATTTCCCTCATCCATTCTCCCTGCCCCTTGCAGCACCAAAACTATTTGAACACATACCCTCTAATAGTCCATTTCACTCTCAGTACTTGACAGATAACCTCCTTTTGAAAGGATTGAGATGAAAAGATTTCATAAAAAGATGGGAACATTGGAAAATCAGGAATAACGACTGAGTAGTTCCAGAGAAGGGGAGCAGGGTTACTGCGGGAAACAAACCGACAAATCATGTCACAGTAATCATGCCACAGTAATCATGCTCATTGTAGAAAAGGTAGAAGATGCCTGGAAAAGAAGGATGTTGCATTCATTCTTCTCTTTTGCTTTTCCCTGTCTCATCACTCAGCTACGTGGTGATTGACTCAGACTCTGATGATGAGTGCTTCCGTAAGAAGAAGAAGGTGAAGCTATCTGGAATAAATAATAAAGGCAAGTAAACCATTAACTTCAAGAAGTAGCTGAGCCGTGCGGTGCAACCTCACCACACATAGTCATTTCAGGATGAGAGTCAGCAATCATTCTGTTCTGAATCACTGAGTAGTGAGCGCCACCCTTTTCCCCTCATATGGGCTGGATGGGGGATATGGCTGGATTCCCACACCCCTTGGTACATGTCCTAACACAGCAGCGACTGTTATTGCTGCCTTAGATCTCGGGCATCCCCCTCAGTAGAGCTCTTACCTGCCTAGCATTCCATCCCCAGAGCAGAACTCAGACTGAGCAGCTTGAAGGCTACTCTGCTCCTCCTGCTCCCGCTCTCGCCCTCCTTCTCTGGATATGGGGATGACAAGGAAGGGGAAGAGGCAGGGGCTCATTCTTTCCAGCCTGATAGAGACTCGGATGTGTGATGCTTGAGGACCAGCTTCTCAGGGGAATCCTTGCTTTGTCTGTATAGCTGTTTGTCTTTGCCTTTCGCTACTCCCTTTATATTTTCTCGAGTTTCCTGTTTTCCTTAGAACCTGTTTCCCATAGCAGCTCGTCGCCTCTTTGGATTCAGAGGTCCTCTTCACCTTTTAGGAGGTGCAGAATTTTATTCGCGTTTCAGAACCTGCACAGTGGGTGTGAGATGTCGGGAAACTAGGGGCTTCTTGAGCATCAGGGACAGTATTTTATTGCTGTGTTTGCTTAGTACCTGGGATAGGGCATGATACACAGGCACCTGCTACTTCAAGTACTGACACCCTTAACATACCAGCTACTTCTTTGATAACTACCCCCTAGCTACTGTTGTCCAGACTCTCCTAGTTACCCTGGGATATCAGAGCGGGGAAAGGAAGGGAGGCTTGGAACCCTTGTCTCCTACTGTTTCACCACCTATCCCCTCTAATTTCTTTTTCCCCTCCTCTCTGAGTGGATTGCCTGAGCAGGACGAAGGTCCAGGTGCAGAGGAGGGGGTGTGATATGACAAGCTACTGAAATGCAAAGGGAGCCCTCAGGGCGGTAGCTTTGAAGTAGGGGCATGAGCGACAGAACCAGAAGGCAATTTGTCACCATCTGCCACCGGTTGCCGACTCCTTGAACAGAAGATCCAGTCCTTTTTTCTTCCCTTTAAAAAAAATTGAAGTATAGTTGATTTGCAATGTTGTGTTAATTCATAGGCTTTTGAGGATGAACTTTCAACTAAGGCTGCTCTTACCTCTCTGACCCGTGGTGTCCATCCCAGGAGTGGATTGAGGTCGGCTCCAACAGACAGGACTGTTTTTGTATGTTTCTTCTCTATTCTGCACATGCCATCTCTTTTGTTAATGTCATGAATTTAGGTAATTTTCCAGAAAGGAAGGCCCAAGGAACTTTAACACACACTTCCAACCTTTGTCAGTGTACAAAGGCATTTTTATACATTGAAAGCAGTGTATCCCTACTTTTTAGAATTTCAGCTGCAGGTTGGAAGTCATTCAGTCTTCTAGGAAGGGTGACTCTCTACCCTAGGAACACCCACTCCTTCCTCTTTCCTTATTGCATCTCTAAAGTTCTTTGATAATTAATTTAAATAATAGATGAGACTCAAAGTGTACTATCCCAGAGCTGCAATTTTAGGATGAAGACTTTTTACATCAAAAATCACATTTTCACAACTCGCCCAGACTGTGGTTTATATTTTTTACATCCAGGATCATAGAAACATAGAAGTTGACCTCTGAGCAGATTCCAGAGAGCACATGTGTTAGACACACTGCCCCTCACTTCCAGATGACGGATGGGTCCTCAGGGAGAGCGGGGACGTTCCCAGTGTTTCCAGTGTTCCCAGGGCCTCTCAGTGCTGGCATCAGAACTCAGCTCCTCACTCACATTGGTGGCTCTGAGACCTTCGTATTTCCGGACTATTTAAAAAAAGAAATTTTGGTGGCTAACATAGAGTTGCCAATTTTTAATTTGTCTAACGATGTCTAAGAAAGATAATTTAATTTGTCTAATGATTTTTAATTTGTCTAACTTCCAGCTACCATCTACCACCATAATTTCATAAAGTAAAGTAAAACTGCACCAGCAGTTTAAGTGAGGACATAATCTCAAAATAAAGGACAGTCCTTTAAATGCTTGATAGAAACTGAACTAGATAGGAACCTCCACCCCACTTTATTATTCTAATTTCTCTTATTTTGCTGTGGCGCAGTGAACATATACAAGTGTCAGACCTGTGGGAACCACTGAGCGCCTCTATTGGGCAAATTAGAGAATGTGATTTGAAAATTGCCTCTGGGTTTAGATTGCTATTTTATCTGTCACTATTCAACGGAAAATAAAAAAAAAGCAATAGAGGTAAAACAGCCTAAAATAACAGATTCTGAACCATGGTTCATTATAGCACAGTTCCTGGCTTGTTTAATTTGTGCTCAATAATCTGAAGTTGAGTGTGTGGCGGGTGGCAGTGGAGGGAGTATTTATCTGTGATTGTGTCTCTTGAATTTCAGATGAGATTCTGGAAGTGTGGTCTGATACTGAGGAGAAGCCATGCCAGAAGCTTCCAACCATTATCATTGATGATGATGATGATGATGATTTGGAGGGCCCTGTGATAATAGAAGATGATTCGTGTGATGAGGGCCAGACTCCCTCAAATGAGCAAAAGAAGGATGAGATTGCTATCTTCCAACGGAAAGTATCTAATAAAGTTGGTCATCAGAATCTTAAGAAAGATCCCTACCAACCACCAATTGATGATCCTGACGTTGAACTAGCGTTGTCAATTAGCAAGTTGTCAACTGATGAAAAGCCTGAGCCTGTGGTGGAACAACCAATGAAAAGGAAGAATAAAAGCAAGAATATATCCGTGAAACCTGGTAAGCCAATCAAACCAAGTGTGCCAGCCACGCTTGCTGTGCCCTTTGCCCTGTGGATATGTCTGTCTTGTCGGGTCTGCTTGTCCTGCCTACTAACCCTCTGCCGTATTTGACAGGCTTCCTAATGGCCAAGGGAGGCGGCCATCCCAGTGAAAAGGCTCTTCCTGGGAATAGAGGAGGATGCCCATGTATTCCTCATGCTCCTATGTCTTCATATTTGCCATTCCATCATTTGCGGTGCTTCCCCGCCCCCTGTGCTTTTTTGTTCTGAGTTTACCCCGTTTTTCTTAGGACCCAGCCCGATTGCCGCTTGCTGTAGGAAGCCTGCAGGGTTGCTCCTCCCTCCTGGGTTCCCAAAGTTCCTAGACCCCATCACTACTAAAGAACTTACACAAGTGTCTTAAATATGTTTCTGGAGTGGGGAGGGCAATAGCTCAGTGGTAGAGCGCATGCTTAGCATACGTGAGGTCCATTAAAAAAATTTAAAATAAACTTAAAAGATTATGTTTCTGAATCTGTCCTCCGAGTAGATGGTAAGCCTCTTGATTGGAGGGCTCTTACTCATCTTTTAGTCTCTCTCAGAGTCTAGCATGGTACTTGGCATAAAATAGATGTTTAATACATTTTTAAAATAAACAAACAAAGGACATTAATGACTGATATGCGAATTTCTCGCTAGAGCAACCAGCAGCTTGGGTGCTGGACAAAGGTGGCCAGATTTGGCCTGCAGATGAGATGAAGTTGCTGCCTGGGACGTAAGCAGCTTTCCTCGGGGCGAGTGCATGCACTGTGCCAGCCTCAGCCGTCCTTATACTGCCCGAGCCTCAGTTGCCTCCACAGCCTAACCTCTAGTGTAGCCTCATGATGGTCCTCGGTCCCCAGGACAAAATCCTACCCCTGCTTGCTCTGCTGGCAGCTCTGTGGCTCACATAGCTAAAACCATTCATGCCGACTCAAAGAGCACTCCTCCCGCTTCAGAGAGATTTTGGGTTATATGCGTGGCTCTGGGCTTGGGTGGGGATGCTTCTTCTGGGTTTACCTTTGGGTACAAATGAACTATTATCTTTTCAGTTGTTGAAGGACGGAAGACACGTGGGTCTTCCAAGAAGAAACCAAGTGCAGCAAAAAGTGAAAAATGCAACCCTGGGTAGGTACCGGTCATGTTCGACTGCACAGGAATTGACCATGCAGTCGTCACTCGTGAAGCTGTCCCCTGGGCACATGGCGGGTCTTCAAGGGGATGAAGGAGTCTAGGGGAGGGAGGACAGGATTTCCATCCCTGAATTGGGAGGGCAGAAGCAGCAGGAGGGGGAAGAGGAGGGGGGAGGAGGGGTGTAGGGGAGGAGCCTTGGCACCCCTCTCCACCCTCTCCCCCAGCAGAGCCGACGTCAGTGCTCCACCCAGATCTCCACAGATCCTGGGGAAGACTGCAGCCTTTTGCCCTCCAACAGCAGCTCTGGCCTTTGAGATTTCCTTTGTCCTTAAATTCAGATTAAACAATGATCAAACAAGATCCTTCTTTCCAGGCTAGATACAGCTTCATGGCCACCAGTTTCCACCAAACTAAAGCAAACACAGTGGGAATGATGAGAAGACAGAAAGGACGTGTTCCCATCCATTGAGATCAGAGACAGGCAGTCCAGATTGCCTTCCAGATTTTTCTAGTACTTTGGATGGACCTTTACTCTTATTATGTGTATATATTCTTGCAAATCATTTTTTTTGGTATATATATATATATTTTTATTGAAGTATAGTCAGTTTACAGTGTTGTGTCAATTTCTGGTGTACAGCACAGTGCTTCAGTCATACATGGACATACATATATTCGTTTTCATATTCTTTTTCACCATAAGTTACTACAAGATATTGAATATAGTTCCTGTACTATACAGTATGAACTTATTTTATATATATAGTAGTTACTATCTGCAAATCTCGAACTCCCAATTTATCCCTTTATTCTTGCAAATCTTTAAAGCTTAAACATTAGGGTAAAATAGATTGCTTGTAGTCCTTTTATTTTTATTAAGCTGTATGTTATATATCATGTTGATACTGATATTACATTGTTATATATTATATTGATACTGAAAACAACAGGTCGTTTAGACCAAAGACGCGTTAATGCTCAAAGGGAGGAAAAAAATTAACACATTTCCTCATTTAGATTTCAGAAGCTTCTCACTTCTTCTCTTAAAAATATGATAAGTGAGCATAATTCTCTTTCTTTGTGTTCACTTGCATTCAGGAATAATTTACACTTACATCTGAATTCTCTTACAAGCGAAGGGATATATTTGAAGAACTGTATGTTTCTTTTTTTAAAACCTGTATTTTGGGGCAATAGATGCATCTTAAGGGGAGAAGAATGATATGTCAGGCATAGGGCAACAGAGAAGCTTGGACCTGGGCAGAGAGGCTGTTTCTGCATTTCTCTTCAGTTCAGCATGTTCTCTCTCAGACGGGCCCCCTTTCAGCATAGCTTATTCCCTGGATTCCTAGATCCATATTTAAGCTGCTCTGCCTCTAGGGACACGTGTCTTGGGTCGGTGCCAGGTTGCTCTGCCAGAGAATGACAAGCGAAGGAAGAAGCTGCCCCTTTGTGTCATCGTCCTCGGCCTCCCCTGAGGGAGGCTAGCCTGTTTGGACTCTTCACCGTCACCTTGCTGCTTCCTGTTTCAGTGTGTAGGCTTCCTGTTGTGCTCAGCCCTGCTCCTGTGCAGGCTGCTTGCTGGTCACAGTGTCTGATGTACCCATCTGGGGTCTTGTTGGTTCCTCTGATGTGGAGATGCTTAGCCTGCAGTAAAGCAGCATCAGCGTGGAAGTGAAGGCTCGTGAAGCCACAAGCTACTTGACGTGAGCACAGACACACACAGGGGTAATGCTGTCTGCTGAGGTCTGCGGGTGGTTCGAGTTTTTTATCTGTCACCTTTTCTGATGCCAATTTGCTTTCAGAACTAAGTAATTGGAGGCAGAAATGTTAGTCACTCTCATCGGGCTTGGGGATGAAGACCCTTCCTTTAGCTGCCTTTGTCTTGCCTGGTGCTTTTTCCCTGTCTCCACCCCAGCCACCTCATGCAGGGTTTATTTTGTGACTTAAGGGTTAATGAACGTCTTGGCAAAATCTCAGTCTCGGGAGTTCTGTTAAGTCAGAGACACTTCCCTGTGTTTGCTGCTGGTTTATCCTGCCAGCTCTGTGGGCTCATCTCTTTGAGCTTGTGGATTGTTCCAGCTGAGATAAAAATGCTTTAGTTTAAATAAGTAGTTATTACAAGTGTGAGGTTTTGTGTGTGTGTGTGTGTGTGTGTGTGCTCAGCACTATCCTTTGTGCAGTGGAATTAGGCCTTGAAAGACAGGGCAGCAAGGGAAAGACCCTGAAATCCGGGTCAGGAAGATTCAGTGTCTCTGAACTTTGGGTAAGTCACTTCGCCTCTGAACTTGAGTTTTGTCACCTGCATAGTGGAGATCATTGGAACAGGCGACTGTGAAGATTAAATATGATGATACCAAAGGAAGTTCTTGGTAAATGATGAAGTCTACACAGAGGGTTGTTCTCAGTAGAGGTGGCGATGTGGCCATTCTAGGCCATGGACATATAGGTTGTGCCAAGGTGTGAATGAACTGTGGTAAATCCCAGTTCATGTCAACGAACGTTTGAGTTGCCCACTTCGGCCAGAGTGGAAATGGTAGCTCTAAATAGAGGTTGGAACCAGATTGACCTGGGCCTTGAATGCTTGGCTAGTCAGTGGAAAGCCAGGGAGGGACATCACTGGAACAGGGCGTAGGAAAAAGAATCTGAAGGGGGGTGTGTTTGTGGTTGGTTAGAAGAAAAAGAGCCTGGAGGTAAGGAACACAGGGATGCTATAGTCACCAGGCTTAAAGGGGAGGACAGGAACTTGACCCAGGGTGGTGACAGCTCATGGAGAGGAGGGGCTGGCTGGAAGAGATGATGTGAAGAAGATAGTGGTCTGTCTTTGTGCCTAATTGAATATGGGGTGAGGGCGAAAGATGGATTTTAAAATGTCTCTGAGGCTTTCAGCCTGCTCTCACAGAAGCTGGACAATTAAACACATTCAGCTGGAGACAGACTCATGTTAGTTGGTTGGAAATTTGCATCGGCCAGTTGTCAACTCAGAACTACATCTGAGGAGAGAGATGGAGACTGCACATCCAGGTCTCGGGTCGGTCCTGTTGAGGTTGGGACCACGGGCTTCGCATCTCTGTCAGTGTGTGAGAATTGAAGAGAAAAAGGCTTGGATGAAGTGCCCTCATAGCAGGAGCTGGAAGGAAGAGGGACCAGCCAGTCTTCTCAGTCTCTCTTGACGTGACCTGTTCGTATCCGTTTCTTCTATTGATTTATTTTGCTCTACCAAACTCATTTGAATTTGCCTTTGCAGGGCTTCTGAATGCAAAATACCTGGATGTTTCTTGCGTGGCCTTGAGAATTTAAAGGAGTATTCTGGCAAGAAGTTCAAGCGAAATAAGGATGAACTGGTTCAGAGAATCTACGCTCTGCTTAACAGCTCTGTCTTTGATAAAAAGGTAGACTCTTGAATAAGCACTTATTGGATGCCCAGTGCTCTTGGGTGCTGGGAGGTGTGCAGATGTGCTCACTGTATATTTCCTACCTTCAAAAAGTGCCAGTTTAGTTGGGGAGATGAGACATTACGGACAGGAAAGAAACAGAGTGTTTTGTGGTTACAGGGTATGGTCTAGACTGTTACTACCACGGGCGATCAGTAGAGGGAGAAATCACTGAGGCCCTGAGTGGTTAAGAGAATAGGATTGCTTGGAGAAAGTGAGACTTGTTCTGGGTGTTGAAGGAGGGTAAGGGGAGAGAAGAACAGTGGTGGGGGAGAGGGCAAGTGTTGACGCTCGACTATCAGGAAGAGAAGGTTCGTGTTGAAGGAAGGAGCTATGGGACCTTGGACAAGTTCCAGAACCCCTCTTTGCCCCTGTTTGCTCATCTGTAAAGTGGGTGCAATACTCATATATACTACTTCACAGAATTATTGTCAGGTCTGGGTAGGTGAATGCCCCTGAAGTGCCTAGAATAGGGCCTGTGACGTGGTGAGCAGTACATGTTAGCTAGCGTGGGGCCGGTTAATGGAGGGCCTTGGGAATCAGGTTGGAGGAGCTTAACTTGAAATCAGTAGGCAACTGTGCTCACTTCCTGATAGGGCGGTTCCGTCCCCAGTTTGTAATGGAGCCTGGGAGTTGAAAGTTACCTTTGAATACATGTACAAATAGTTGTCAAAAGTAATGTTATTAAAAAAAACTCACATCCTGCCCAGGAATGTGATGTGACGTGGAGTAGCTGTTGAAAGTGTTCTGTGAGTAGCATGAGGGTATGGATGGGATGGGGGAGAATCTGGAGGCAGAGAGACCTGTGATCATTAGGTTTTCTGACTTTATTGTCTGAAAAAACAGACAACAAAAAAAGAAGTTTTGTCTGTGACAAAACTTTCTGCAGGGAAAGTTCTTAGATCTTTCTAAAGCTTCCCCCAGCCTTTGGTGCCCTTCCTGATGACAGTGGTGTTACATCAGATGACTGATGAGCGGAACCTTAAGCGTTCTGAGTTGCATTTGTAGTTTTGCCTCAGCACGCTTGCGCACGGGCTCTGTCGCCTGCCTCAGCAGGCGTGTCCTGCTCTCCTTGGTCACTCTTGACTTTTGGCTCCGCACAAGGGAGCACGGATCCAGCACCCATGTACTCACACGTCTCCCTTGCAGCCTGACGGCCCATTCCTTGTCTTTACCTGGGCTCCAGCATAGGTGTTCTTCTTAGAATGTTCGATTTGCAAAACTCTTTTTTAAAAAAAATTTATTTTTGAGGAGGGAAGGTAATTAGGTATATTTATTTACCTTAATGGAGGTACTGGGGACTGAACCCAGGAGCTCTCCCCTACTGCCCTAGATCTGCAGAACTCTTGAGTGGATATTGTCTGGTCTTCTTAGACCTGCTATCTGATTCGCACTGGTTGGCTTTTTGTTCAGCTGCCGGAGAAAATTGATATCGGCTGGAATAAAAAGATGCTGAGAACTGCTGGCTTATGCAACACTGGCCAGATTCGACGCCCGAAGAGGCAGCGTTATGCTAAGATTGAGATTTCTCTGAAAGTCTGCGACTCTGCAGGTAATGGTAGGAGGCTGGCAGAGTCCGGCCCAGCACCTGGGAAGTTACTCTTAGGTGCTGGTGTTCCCTGGCAGCCTGTGTCACAACTTTTCCTGTCGCTTCTGGGTGGACAAGCCTACTGTGTGTTACTTAGAGGACATTATTATTTAAATTCTTTTCTGTTTTTTTTGGTGGTGGGGAGGTAATTAGGCTTATTTATTTATTAAAAAAATTTTTTTAATGGATGTACTGGGGGTTGAACCCAGGACCTCGTGCATGCTAAGCATACACTCTACCACTGAGCTATACCCTCCCCTACTAGAGGACATTATTCTTGGATGTCTCACCACCACTGAGCATCCAGTTCGTCCATATTTCTACCAGGCCTCACATTTTCTCTGCAGCTCCCTGTTGCCAGTGGCAACATCTCCATTCTCTCGGTAACTGAGGTTCAAGGTCCCCTAGATCTCACCAGTCACCAGATGTTCATAATGACTCGCCTGTTATCATCATTCCTTCTCTGTCTTTGCCTCTGCCTAGCTTCAGCCCCTCGTTACGTCACTCTTCTCCCTGCCCCATCCAGTCTCCTGCACAACACGGCATGGCGTTCCGGCTCAGAAACCTAGGACTTGCCAATGTCTGGAGCATGGCTTTGGGGGCCATCGTGGTTTGCGCCCCCTCCATCTGGCCGGTCTTGCCTCACTGCTCCACCTGTGCTCCAGCAAGACTTTCTTCATGTTGCCTTTCAAAATGGACCACACGCCTTCCTGACCCCAACCTTTGCACACATTTTTCACCACAGCTAGAATGGCCTTCCTAATTTTGCAAATCCAGTCAACTGTTAAGGGCCCAGCTCAGATCCCAGCTTATCCGTGGAGCCTCTCCTGACTAAATCCCATGGTCATGATGATTGCTCCCCACCCCGTCCACTTATGCTCCTGGAGGGTGGTGACTGGGTCTTAGCTGGATTTATTGCTAGCTACGTCCCACAACATGATGAGCACATCAGAGCTGTTCTGAAAAGACTTGCTCACCTGAGGCTTTCTGTCATTAACAAAACTGGGCTGAAGTAAGTAGAAATTCCATTTTCAGAATCCTGGGAATATTATAAGATGACTTTGCATCCGGTGGGGTGGAGAGTCTCGGGGCGGTTGGGTAACAGACCAGAAAAGAGTCAGTTTAAGCACTCATGATTTCTTTTTACTCCTTTTCTAAGACCGACTCCGGGATACTTTGATCCATGAGATATGCCACGCAGCCTCCTGGCTACTTGATGGTATCCGTGATTCCCATGGTGATGCCTGGAAGTATTATGCCCGAAAATCTAATATGGTGCACCCGGAGCTGCCCAAGGTCACTCGTTGCCATAACTATGAGATAAACTACAAGATTGTTTATGAGTGTACTAAGTGCAAATCCAGGTAAGACCCTCCTCCTCACAGTTTTTCCCAATTATGGTTTTCCTGTGCCCTCCAAGTGGCTCCTCAGTGATGTTAGCAGTAAGTGCATGGCTATCTGACTTGAGCAGTAAAACTTCCCTACTCCTTTTCATGTCCACCTTCTCTGTTCTCTGCTCAGTGCCCTGCTTTTTGAGAACCCACAGAAAAAGTCTTGCTTCAGGCCCGAGGCTGGTACCTCAGAGGAGATGCTGAGGTCCACTGACTGATTCCTTTGCTGTGTGGTATCTGTTTCCTTGTTAGGATCGGCCGCTACACCCGATCCCTGAACACTGACCGCTTCATCTGTGCCCAGTGCAGGGGCCCTCTGGTCATGCTGCCACAGACTCGGAAGGATGGGACCCCCATTCGGCCCCATGTGAGACCATTTGCCAAGTATGTGAAGGAGAATTACAGGATCATTCAGAGGCAGACAGAAGGAATAAGTCATGGAGATGTGATGCGAAAGCTCAGCAAGGATTTTGCTGCCAAAAAAAAAATGCTGGGTCTTTGAGGTTTTCTGAGAATGTATTTGTGTGAGGTGAGTCCTCTATTGGTCAGGAGTTTTAGAAAGAGATCTTAGACGAAGTTAGGAATATTAGAGTTTAAATCCTTTTAAAGTAGCTTCCTGTTGTTAGTAAATGATTGTTCTTAACCAAGGGTTAACTGTTTTGTGCCCTTAGTCTTACACAGAAGCCCTTGGTATCTACCTTGGGTCTTACTTAGATGCTGTAGTTGTAAGGTAGTGAATGAAATGCAGAAGAGGAATGAGTTTTGGAGAGTGGCAGGTGGAGAGAGTGAGAGTTAATGCTGAAAAGAGAACAAGTTTTAAAGGCAGTCCTTCAAAAGCAGGGCTGCTGTCAGGTGTAGCCTGTTATACTTACCTAGAATTAAAGGACAAATGTGTTTCATAAATTAGTTGATATTGTATGAAGCCGTCTGAGCCAATGTAACTGTTCACAAGATAAGAAATAAATAAATAAAATGTTTTCTGCAGTTCACTTGTTAGCAAAGTCTGTTTATTGACAACCTGTGTCCAGAGCAGAACAAACCCTGGGGTCTTTTGTCCAAGACCCCCGACATCAGAAGCTCTCTAGGATGTGTCTGGATGAGAGTCCTCTCCATTTTGGGTGGCTCTCGGATATCTGTGACTGCCCATTAGCACTTCAGCAGCCTTCCCCTGTTTGGGGAGCTATCTGGGATATAGGCTGGAATCAACATTTTATTTGTTTCCAATTTCTGCCCTAACAAATTACTGTGAGCTTGGCAACTTAAAACAACCCAAATATATTAATTTTACAGCTCAGTAGGTCAGAAGTTTGGTGCAGACCTCAGAGGTCCAAAATCAAGTTGTGAGCAGGGCTGCATTCCTCTCTGGAGGCCCTGGGGGTAATCCATTTCCTCATCTTTCCAGCTTCTAGGGGCTGCCTGCATTCCTTGGTCTGTTGCCTCCTTCCCCTATCTTCAAAGCCAGCAACATCTCTTCCTCTGACTTCTCCCCTTCTGCCTCCCTCTTTCATTTTTAAAGACTGTTGCAATAATGTTGAGCTCACCTGGATCATCCAGGAGAATCTTCTTTTAAGGTCAACTGATTAGCAACCTCAATTCCCTTTTGCCCTGTAAGGTAACATATTCACAAATTCTGGGGATTGGAGTGTGGACATCTGGGGACCTGACCACAAACATCTTTACTAGTCTAGCATCGCTGGTAACTTTTTATAAGCAGGATGTGTTATTCTGTCATCTTCCTTCCTTCCTTCCATCCTTCCTTCATCTTGCAGATGCATAAGTGGCAACAAACTGAAGCCTAACCACAAGTCTAGATGGGATGAGGTATGTACACAGGGTAGTATGAGCTTCCCCAGCTAAATCCTTGGGTCCCTCCTTTCCAGTCTCACCTCCAGTCATATCTGCTGTCTCAGCAAAGGCCCAGTTGGCCTGTGAAACTGGATCATGGCACATTGGTGACTTAAGTAGGGAGAACTGACAGTACCGTGGTCCCACCCCTGCAAAGGGAGGACTGAGCCCTCTGCCTTAACTCAGCAGCTCTGTCACCTGCCTTTCTGGGGAGCTCTTGTCATTTCCTGCACTCATGTCCACTGCACCTATAGCCATGGGAAACCGCTCCCTGCAGCCCACACATGCCTGCAGGTGGCCCACGTGCTAATGACTGTTGGCAAGTTGTCCAATCTTGTTTGTTTTTTTTTCAAGTCCCACTGCTATTTCCTTAGTAAGAGCCTGCATCACTTCTAACCTGAATAACCACCACAGCCTTCTAACTGGTCTCTATGATACGTTCACCTGATCCCAAGCGAACTTTCAGTCTTATTTTCAACCCTTCCCCTACCTGAGGCCTTAGTTCTAGCCACTTGGGACCACATAAAACATTCCTCCACTAAGCATTGCTGTTTTTGGCCTTCCCACCTTTGCTTCTGCTCTCCCACCCCCCTGGAGAGACCATCTTTCCTTCTCTTTGCCCTTAGCAATACCACTCATCCTTTAAGGTCTGTCCATTTCTCTGTCTTCAAGATTTCAAAAGGGCTCCAGCCGCAGTGCTCTGAGCATGTGTCACGCATTTGCCTCGTGGCATAGACTGCTGATATTGTCCCTTACCACATCTTCCTTAATGGCCTAAGCTTCTGGAGTGCAGGGACAATGTCTTAGTTATGTCTGAAGGCCCTGTCCCCAAATTATGCCAAGGCAGTGTCTAGCCAGCCAGTTGACTAACTGCTTACCCTGCACCCATGTACCAGGGTGCTTCCCCATGACGTGCCCAGGAGGGCAGAGAGGAGGTGAGACAGAGACATTAACACAAGCAGCGTTGATTGGTCCAGACCCGGGGCCAGGCAAGGAGAGGCAGGAAGTGCCTCCCTAGAGCCCGGGCAGGGCCAGCTGTAATAATGCACTCCTAACACCCTGGTCCTGATCAGCTTGTTTATTGAAAGCTTGTTTATTAGAAGCAGAATTTTAGACATAAAACCAAATGTGAGCAAATACAGAGGGTCTCGAGGACCACAGCCATAGTCACTGCTGAGCAGGAGGCCTGGGCCCAGGCCTGGCAGAGGCGGCTGCTATGATGCAGTTGGCCTTGTGCTCCCTGCGGATGGGGAAGGCCGAGGCCTATGTATTGAATTAGGAGGGTGGGTGGGTTCTGTGCGGCCAAGGTTAAGAAGGGCCTCAAGGCAGCCACCTCTGAAATAGCAGGATGGGGCTCAGCAGCTAAGGAACAGTGATGCCGCAGCCCCCAGAGCAAGGAGGGCGGCTCCCTGAGATACCCGGTTGTACTGGGGCCATCCAGAGCTGCCCAGGAGTGTTCGTTTGGGAAGTGAGCGAGAGAGGAGCCTGGAATGTGGGGGGGAGTGGTGAAAAGTGGAATGTGGGGCTGTGTGGTGAAAGGCGTGCCCCCATCCCAGCCTCACAAGCCCGAGTAGGAGGCCTCTGTGGTCTCAGACCATGATGACTCCCGGCGGACAGCCGATGGCTGCCGCTGGTGGCCCCTCTGGTTGGGGCAGCCCAGGCGCATGAGTAGCATCCACATGCGCTCTCGGAACTTGACGCCCACGAAGGCGTAGAGCAGGGGGTTGAGGCAGCAGTGCATATAGCCCAGGCCTGACGTGACCGACTTGGCTATGTCCACACTGCTTTCTCGGCCACAGTTGCGGGCCAAGGCCCCCAGGTCCATGAGGATGTCCACCAGCACTACTAGGTGGTAAGGGGTCCAGCAGAGGGCAAAAGCCACCACCACCACCACCACCAGCCGCATGGCTCTGAGCCGCCGCTGGCCCCTGGAGACCAGCAGCACGGCCAGGATGCGGGCGTAGCAATAGGCCATGACCAGCAGGGGCAGCAGGAAACCGGCGACCAGCTGTAGGACGCGCAGGGCTGTGCGGCCCACCTGCGGGAAGTTGTACTGGCAGAGGGTGGCGTTGAGGCGCTCATCGCGATGGGCCGACAGGAAAATGAAATCTGGGAGTGCCAGGAGCAGGCAGATCCCCCAGACTGCCATGCAGGTGAGGACCACGCGGCCTGGGGGCCCCCGGCGGTAGAGCTGGGTGGCATGCACAATGCTCAGGTACCGATCGAAGCTGATACAGGCCAGCAGGAGGGCCCCCGCATAGAAGTTGATGTTGAAGAGGGCACTGGCCACTTTGCAGAAGCCGGAGCCGAAGACCCACTGGATGGCCGCGTCCACCGCCCAGAGCGGGAGCGTCAGCACCAGCAGCGCGTCGGCCAGGGCCAAGTGCAGCAGGAAGGTGTCGGTGCTGCTCAGGACTGCCCGCTGGCTCAGCAGCACGGCTGCCACTGCGCCGTTGCCCAGCAGCCCCAGCACAAAGAGGAGGCTGTAGAGGGCTGGCAGGAAGGCCCGGTCGAAGTTGAGGCTCAAGTCCTGCGGGCAGGGCGGGGAGGAACAGCAGGAGTCGCTCTCGTTTTCTCCGTAGTCGTAGGAAGAGTTTCCCAGGAGCAAGGCAAAGTCAGAGGCTTGGAACTCTTGGCGTTCTCTCATCTGTGGAGGGAGGGAGGGCACGGAGTGTGTCAAGGCCTTACAAATCCCTCCTTCAGAGATTTAGTCAGGATTTAGCCTTTGTCGAAGCAGCTCCTCTGTAAGGCAGGCCCAGAGGCCTGGCTCATACCCGTAACTGCCCTGCCTTTCTTCCAAGACCGTGCGCTCTGAGTTCCATCTGCCTGGCACCACCTGGGTGCTGCTGGGCTGGTAATGTTCCTTATCTAAGGCTGCTTCTCTCTCTTTCTGGGTTATCCATCGGCCCAGGGATTGTGGGCCGGAGGGAGAGCTTCCGTCCTGCCCCCAGAGCCCTCCTTGCCTCCTCTCCTCTCTCCTTGCCCTTCCTTCTCCACTTACAGGCCTCAGTGTCCTGGCCACGCCTAGTTCCACCACCTTCCTCCCCAGGCGCCTCCCCATAGTCCCCTCTCTCAGTCGCTTCTCTGGGGACCCCAACTTCCTGCCCCTCCACAGGGCCCCTCTACAAATCACTGTGGCCCCCCAACACATACTTTCTGCCCCCATCCTTCTCCCCTCCACCCACCAGGGGCTCCCCTACTCAGCCCTGGTAGAAATATTCCTTACCCCCTGCCCCCGCAAACCACCCGACGGCGGTGAGCCTCCCAGGTGCCAGTTCAGTCCAGCACGGAAGATCAAAGTTCCGAGTCAGAGCTGAAGGGAGCCCTGGGGGCCATGAGGGGTGAGCCTCTACCTCACCCATTTGACAGATGAGGCACCAAGGCCAGAAAGAGGAGGGGACCCACCTGTGGTCATTCACAAGTCAGTGGCCAAGGTGGTTTCCCAAGTCTCCATCCAGCGCTCCTTCTACACAACGCCTGCGTTCTCTGCCTAGTCACGCAACCCCCTGGTGGCCCCAGCTGGTGGGCCAGACCTGATGTTCCCCTAGTGTCCTAGGCTCCCCACTCGGAGCTGTGGTCTGGCCTGGCTGGGCAGCGGCACTTACCTCAAGGACCATGGCTGGGCTGGTACTCTAGCTGCCAAGCCGCGTGCTGCCTGCCCCTCTGCTTTGGTGCTTGTGGTTGGGAACCTGCACTGCACAGAGGAAGTGAGGGTTTCACGCAGTTCTCAGAAGCAGCCTCTTCCATGGGGTTATCTACAACAGACCTCCCTAGACTCAAGACCACGGAGTTCCCACCCCACCAGCCCCCTGGCCCGGGGAAGCTGCTCTGGGAGTTGGCCGCAAGCCTGGGACCCAGGGAAGGGCAGCAGGGGTGGGGGGCAGGACGGGATTCTAGGCAGGGGCCGGTCTTTTGAGGGGAGGGGACTGTAGTAAGAGCAGAGCAGCTGGGAAGGGCAGGGCAGCCCTGTCGCCAGGGATGAGAACTGCTTCTCACATGTCCTGGGCTGGAGTGGACCTCGCGTGATTGTAGACAGAATTGTGAAGCGTGTTACGTCTGTAAAGCAGAGTCACCTTCTTAAAAAAATGAAAATATCTGAAAGAAATCCATCACACTAAATCTAGTCCTTTACCATTGCCCCTCCCAGCTAACCAACAGAGCCAAGCAAAGGGGACTGCTAGGAATGAACTTGGTATGTGCTAGGTGTTGCTTTGGGCACTTTCTCGGACACTGCCTGATTCCAACCGCATAACTGCCGTGTGTTTGTGTGTGTGTGTGTGTGTGTTTAAGGGGTGCGGGTGATGGGAGTTATCTCTGTGGCTAATCCGAAAAGGGGAAAAGCCTTCAGCAGACACAGCAAGTAAGAGTGGCCACTAGGATTGAACCCATGGCAGTCTGACTCTCCTTTTAGACTACCTTCAGTTTTTTGTTTTTAATGGACACACTATGATGTATTTATCCACTTAAAAACGAACTAAAAGCTAACCTTTTACCCTGGCTAGAAAAGCCAATGACCAATAGTGGCAGAGGCAAGCTGGAGAATACTGTGTACAGTTTGACACCACTTATGTAAATTCTAAAAACCACATGCACAAAACAATATCATGTTGTCTTGGATACGGCTATTTTTCTGGAAGCTTAAAGCAGGGACTGGAGACACCACAAATCCATGAGAGCAGTTGCTTCTAGGGTGAGGAGAAGGGGAATGGGGTCGGGGAGAGTACTTGGGGACCTCCTGATTTTAAGGAAAAGCTGTGTGTGAACCACGTTTGTAGAGCAAACCAGTCCCTTTATGGCTGTGCGCTGGGACAGTCCCTCTGGTCTCACCTGGACCCTCAGGTGTCCCTCTCCCACCTGGTCTGGCTCCCTGCTCTGCCCTCTTCTCCCTCCCTATGGCCCTGTTTTCACTGTCAGAGGGAAGAGGCTGCCTCTCCCAGGCAGCTTCCTCTTTCCTTCTCTCCCTGTAGATGAAAAGGACAGACAGACTGAGACGGAGGCCCTGCCAGCCCATGGCCTTAGGGTCCAATTTTCAGCCAGAATGCATCACCTGAGCCTCCAGGCTCAGGCCTGGAATTCAGCTCAAACTTATTGACAAGATGCCCACTTGCGAGGCAGTGAGGCCCTTCCCCACTTCGTGTGGCCAGAAGAGGTGACTCTGCTTGCTCAACGCAGCCTATCACCTGCAGGATCCAGGCCAGAGGGAACTAAAGGCCTGGAGAAGGTCAGGCACAGCACAAGTGGAGGGGCCTGAGAGGATTCCAGAAGCCCCGGCAGTTCATATGGGAAAGTCTTGGCAGGTGACTGCCTGTGGGCTGAGGAAGAGGGGCGGGAGCCAGGAGCACGGTTTCTGATGCTGGTCCCTGAAGAGTTTCGGTTCAGTAGGCTTCTACACATGAGAGAAAGAAGGAAAACAAAAAGCTTTATTTGTTCAACTTAAAAGAGGGTCTTTTGTTTTCTGCGGTTATGCCCTTCATCCCCCTTTTTGGTTTTAAAAGGATCTTTTTATGAAATGATGGTGATAATAGCTGATAGTTTGGGAAATATCTTGGGCTGGCAGAAATTGACAACCTGATGTGGGACTTTCACATATACGTTGGAGGGTTATGGGTCCATGTGAAATTTCAAAGTCTAGGGACCTCTGGTCTCCTTCCTGTTCCCCAGTCTCCTCATTTATCACATAGGGACCATAGTCACCACCTTTCTGGTTGCACGAAAGGAGAAACGAGAGATGGTCAGGTAAGAGCGTTAGAAAGGTGTGGAGACCTTTCATTCTGAGTTGGGCTCTATCCTAAGAGGCCAGGCTTGGCTGTGGGGTGGGCTGTTCCTGCTGCTCCCAGCGTGGCTGTCATGCAGTGGGAAGGATAGGAAGAGCCGCTGAAATTGTCTGGCTCCAGCCCCGACTCCACCCTGTTCGAGGTGTGTGACCTTGGACCAACGATGTAACTATTTGGAGCTGGTCTCGGTGGGGTTGTCCTCAGATGAGCTAAAACAACCAGGGCTGTTGAGGCCCCCGTCTCCCCCGCCCAGAGTGCAGCACTTAATAGGAGCACAGCTGAGTGAGCGCAATATTGGCCACTAACCTAGAATCACCAGGAGTCCTTCAACGTCAAGGGAGCCCTGGGAACAGAGCATGCTAACTTGTTGACATGGCTGGAGGGTGGGTCCTTCGGAAAGGTGGCCCCTCGCCTTAGCTCGGACAGTTTGGCTAGTCCCAGCCTAATCCTCTGTGCCGCCTGAGGCCAATCATTTTATCTCTCTGCCTTGGTTCCCTCATTTGAAAAGTAGGGATGGGAAGAAGCTATAGCTCAGTGGTAGAGTGTGTGCTTAGCATGTATGAGGTCCTGAGTTCAATCCTCAGTACCTCCATTAAAATAAATACATAAATAAATTTAATTACCTTCCCCTCCCTGCCAAAAAAACCCTAAAAAAAAAAGAAAAAGTAGAGATAAAGCTAGTACCCAGGTGACAGGGCTGCTTGGAGGACTGCAAGTGATTACATGTGGCACAGGGTAAAGTACCCAGCCAGCAGCAGTTTCCTCCCCTTCTAGTAATTTTCCAGACCAGCCCCTCCCAAGCCCACAGAAGGTCAGGTCTGCAGTGGGCCGCTGCTCTCTCTCGCAGCTCAGAGGGCCTCCCAAGGTGCCTGTGGCAGGGTGCCAAGCCCAGCCCTTGTCTGGCTCTCTAATGCGCTCCTCTCCTGTCCCCAGCAGCCCCCAGACCAGGTCCCAAGCAGGCCCAGCCTGGGGGAAGACCCACCTGCGCCCTTCTGCTTCTGGCCTCGCCAGCAGCCGGTAGGGAAGCTGCAGAAGGAAGTTAGTCAGAGCGAAGCTGCTCCGGGCCCCACCTGTGGTCAAGGTGTGAAATGTGCACCTGTTTCTTCTCTGCCACCCCTCCCCCTGTTTTTTTTTCTTTCTTTCACACCTCTGGGCTGTGGTTTGGGGAGATGGGAGGCTTGGAGGCCTGAGCCCTGGGCCCAGTGCCTCACAGGAAGGAGGGCCTCCACAGCTGTCTGTCGGGCCAGCCAGGGAAGGGGGCCGCTTCCTCCTCCTCCTCCCTCTCCACGTCTGCAGCTTCACAGCCTCTCTCCCCGCTTTTCAAAATGCCCACCTTGGAGCTGTGCTCCTGAAGCCCCTGGACTTGGCAGCCCAGGGGAGCAGGCCCAGCGAGGCCCCAGTTCTCCATGGGGCTCAGGCTGTGGCCTGTGCTTGGCCAGAGCCTGTCTTACATGAAATAAAGAAGAGTCCTGGCCCCAGGAAGGGGCGTGGGTCTGTTCCAGACCGTGCTGAGACTCTGCGCTTCCTTCTGCTGGCTCCGAATTTCACAAGAGAAGGACCGCCCCCATCCTCTGTCCTTCCCCCCCCACCACAGCTCTGAACCCGACAGAGAGGCAAGTCCTTTTTTCCTAAGTGCCAGGGCAGTGGGCTGAGCCCCTGGCAGTCCAGGCCCCATAAGACTGAATCCCCAAGCTACTGGGTCGCTCATTCTTTGGGGGACCCAGGGGAGGAAGGTGTTGCCACCATTTGTCAGGTGGCAAAGGGAGATGAGGCCATTCCGACCGGTGCCGAGGCCATGAAGCGAGGAAGAGCTTGTCAGCCCAGGGGCAGTCAGTCTGGTTGGAAAAGAGGGTACATATGAGAGCAGGGGTTGGGGGTAGGGGGCAGAAGAGTAGTTCAGGACCCAAGCCCCACCACCAAGCACAACGACCTTCCTGTCATCCTGCACGCAGCAGTGCCTGGGAACTGATAAAAATAGCTTCCATTTGGCCATCCCTTGCTTTTTTTTCCTTCCTTTTTTTAAAATTAAAGTATAGTCAGTTTACAATGTTGTGTCAATTTTTAATGCACAGCATAACGTTTCAGTCATACATATACATACAGATACAACTTTTCATATTCCTTTTCATTATAGGTTCCTACAAGATATTGAATGTAGTTCCCTGTGCTATACAGTAGAAACTTGTTGTTAATCTATTTTATGTATAGTAGTTAGTGTCTGCAGATCTCGAACTCCCAGTTTATCCTTTCCCACCCCTTTCTCCCTGGTAACCATAAGTTTGTTTTCTGTCTCTTTTAAATCTTTCAGCCACCTGAGGAGGCAGAGGTTGCTGGACCCACTTTGCAGAATGGAGTGGACGTTCAGAGAGGTGAAGTGACTTTTTCCAGGCTAGTCAGCCAGGAGGGTTGGTGACAACATTCCTACCCAGTCTGCTTTCTTTTTTATTTTTAAAATTTTTAAAAAAATTTTTTTTCCCTTTAATGGAGGCCCTGGGGATTGAACCCAGGACCTCGTGCACGCCAAGCACACACTATCACTGAGCTATTACCCTCCCCCATCTAGGCTGCTTTCTGATGTGTTCTCCAGAACCCCTCAATCACTCTGATGCCTAAGGGCTGGATCTTTCAGGGGCCACACCTTACTCACCATGCGGCCCCAACCAGGCACCTAGTGTGAGGGTAGGTGCTCCCCTGGTGAGGCTTGTGCCCTAGAGGGAGCTTCAGTCTACCTCACTGCATCCCCATTCTTTCACCGTGCTCTTCTCCATTTACCAGGGAGAAAAAAAGTCAGAATCTCCTGGATGAGGGTCCTGGAGGGCCAAGCAAAACTCTGCTGAGTGCCATATCCCTTTTGCAACACCCCTCGGGAGGACAAGGAGTCTTGTCCCATCGCAGGCCAGCTCCTAAAGGCC